AAATAGATAAGCATTTATGACAAATTCATACTTCTGAGTTATATTATAAGACAAAGCTTGTTAATGTCTATGTAATACAAATGCCATTCTAAATCTGTGAAGTTTTGTAGAGAGTTCTAGTCTGATGTGGTACACTTCATCCACATAAAATTGGCTCCAATTACTAGATATTTCCCTCTTCTTTTGTCTAGCATAATCTACTTCCAGAAATACTTAAAAGAATTTTTTTCTTCCCTCGTTTGGTGCTTCATTTTAATCAAGGATAATAACTGCTATATGAAAGAAAGAAGGCAGCTTCTTTCTAATGAGAAACATAAAAGCTTCCTATGGACATATAGTCAATTAATTGTAATATTTAATTCTTACCAAAATAATAAAAAAATCCAGTGTCAAGTCTAAGAATGGTCATTATCATTAGAAGAAATAAGCAAACTAGATCTCATATAAGCTAACATCATAATTCAACAGCTACTTAGTAACACTGTAACCAAGGCAACCTATAAAACATACTCAAGAGAATAATAGATCTTATGCTTTTATTATGCTCCAAGCAAGAGGGAAAAAAATAGATTGTTGTGATCAACTGTTTATATTAACTCTCTCAATACTGACTTCAACAGATGTGGCTTTGTCCTGACCTGTGTCAACCTATTCTGCTCTGACTCTTGGCTTTGTCACCTCACCTGTCTAGTCAGTGAGGTGTCAAGCAACATGTTCCAAGAGGCTTAAGAATACGTGCTTGTTTTTGTTTAAGACCCTGCACAACTGAGATGGTTCACTCCTAGACTCTTGCCACCACCAAGTGACTAAGCACTCTGGTAACAGAATTTAGAAATCTCTGGATGAAGTTAAACTGCTCAAGCTAAATCAATCCTGATCTACATTGTCCTTTGCAAAATTGCAAATGCATGACTTACCCCAGCTCGAGTTAGCTATAGCCTGTGTGTGGATAAGACCACAGAGTCAGCACATAGACTCCTAAAAAAATTAGTCTATCTTTTAAAAAATTTCATTTTGCAATTGTTATGCAGCAGGATTCTAGCAATAGTTGATAACTGATATACTTGGTTCTAATCTTAAAATATTTCCAAAAATCTTATTCATCAGTTTTTACTCTGCTGAGTAACTGAAGGCAATAATATTCCCCATTCCTTGCTCCTTTCCCCCAATAATTTAAATGAAATATTTATGATCTTAATAATCTCTCTATAATTACCACTAGTTTAGGTGTGATAAATACCAATTAACCAAAATTGCTAACTCAACTTAACAGATCAACATTTTATAATTAAACATGTCTTTTCCTAGATGGTCTCTAGAAATGAAGAGAAATATCCCAAAAAACAAGATATTTAATTTTACAAATCAAATATTCTTAAGAATTTAGTGTAAACACAAAAGCAAGAAACAAAACCTTACTCCTGTTTCCCAAATAGTGATTTACTTAAACAATTTCTTACCTGTGCATTTTATCATTTTGAGTTCTCAGTAGTAGCACCTTGACGACAAGTAGAATCAGTCAGTCTCACTGTTTGTCCTATTGGAAGCCAAAGGGTCATTCTAAAGGGCTCTTCTGTTTCTAGTTGACTTTGCCAGTTTTTCTCAAAGACATCATGTTAACAGTCTGTCCATTACATCAAATAAATAAATATTAATTTTTCATTATTTTAGTGATCTCTTTATATGGAAGAGATAGAAATCACCATTTTGGGGCAGGGGAGAAGTGTGATCTGAGACTATGGGAAGATGAAGCCGTTTGTTTCCTTTCATAATGTTTCAAAAGCTTGCTTCTTCTATCACTAATCAACTTCATTGCAAGCACATGTAGTGACTATGTTACAAAAGCCACCTGGTACCCTGTCCTCAATAAGTATTCATCCCCTCATAAATTCAGTCATAAATCTGAGAGGAGGTAAGAGAGACACCGGAAGAATTAAAAGAGGAAGCAGGAAGAGTGGAAATTATGCAACTACAATACTTGTGTGAAATTCTCAAAACATAATTTTACATTTAAAACAAATGTAAGTACTATTTTTTTGTTTTATTTTTGGTTTTTCGAGACAGGGTTTCTCTGTGGCTTTGGAGGCTGTCCTGGAACTAGCTCTTGTAGACCAGGCTGGTCTCGAACTCACAGAGATCCACCTGCCTCTACCTCCTGAGTGCTGGGATTAAAGGCATGCACCACCACTGCCCGGCTAAGTACTACATTTTTAGCTTAAATATAAAATGCAATTTTTCCTTGTGGATTCATAGTATGTGTAACACAGATGGACATTTGCTAAACAAAAAGCTATTTTTTGTTTTCTTGCTATTGACAATTGTCATTTTAAGTTTTCTATAAATCCAAGTCTCTGACAAATGCTTTTCATTCCTTTTTTTAAAACACCTATTTGCAGGGAATGTGCACAAACCATACTGCTTGTGGAAGCCAGAAACCACTTTTAGAAGTGCATTCTCTCCTTGTACCATGTAGGTCTTGTGGATCAAACTCAGTTCCTATTCCTTAGCTTGGCAGTAAGCAACTTTACCTGTTGAGACATCTCACTGTCCCTCCAGTCACTTCATAAATCTGACATCAACTACATCATTGAAGCACAAAAACAATTGAGTGGTATGTAAATGCCATTCATTTCTTCCTTCTCCTGTACTGATGTTCTTAACAGGATAGAACTATTAGAAATTCCATGTATCATCCTTTTTTGAAGAAAAAGATGGCCAGGAGACACAATCCTGGCAGTGACAGATGAACAGAAATGGGTTCAGAGAATTTCCAGGAAAATTTTTGTTGTTCTAATGAAAGAGCACCAAATGACCAGAAATTCATAGTGTGCAAATGCATGTCTATTCCCACAGCTGTGTCACTCATACTTTTTTAGAATGTCGTGTGTGTGTGTGTGTGTGTGTGTGTGTGTGTGTGTGTGTGTGTGTGGCTGC